GAGCCCCTCTTGAATATATTTCAATGGCATTATCACCTTGAATTACAATGCCACCGCCCCACCCCACCCCAACACACACACATACACACCTTCAACATATGATTTCTAAAACAGGGTGTCAGCAAGTCAGACAGAATGTTTGTAGAAGCCAGGTGTTTTAGTAATCCATGTTTTCTTCTCGAAAATAATTTCAGTCAAATTTACAGGATGGAGGACAATCTATAAATATGGTCCAAAAAATCACAAACTGGCTTGATTCAAAATACTTTACATTTTTATTTATTTTTGCAGACGTAATTACTTAAATATTTCTTTGTATTTTACAAATTTTGAAATAATTTTAGTTCAAAACTTTTTTCTTTATGTCATTTATTTTATAAACTTTTAAATATCTACAGTTTGTTTAGTAATTCTATGTGAAGCACGAGCGTCAGCAGGTAAAACTAAAAATATTTAGTGTAAATTTTATTTCAGAAGTGGAATTCTCTACATGTGCGGCGTAACGCTTAGTTTATAATGCAATATCTAATGGACACACACACACACACACACACACACCTCCGCTATTGAGGCAGGATACCAAAGCTACTTGTTAAATCTAATGCATGCACTGTCAACCCATTCGCACCCCGTCACGTACCCTCTGAATATAGAAACCGGATTTTCTGGTATTACCCGCTCCACTATTAGCCAGAGGTCCACTTTTACCCTACCAGCAGCACCAGCAGCAGCAGCAACACCTGGTCTGGATCCAGAACTAATCCCACCCAGACTCTAGAACCCTCAGGAACAAGCACTGGAATTGTTGTTTAATTAAATAAAACATTTCACAGTAATTCTAGCAAACACTTATTGGTCATCAATAACCAGATGATGACGCATGATAACCATTGTTTGATTAATCCAAATAATTCTGGGAAAATTAGATTTAAAATCTAAAGTTAATTAAATAAACTCATTTTGTTTCATGTTGCTTTTATGAGTCTGAACAGATTTTTTTCTTCTTTGCAGCAAGATCTAAAAAATTACCAAATCAGCGCGTGATCTCAGATAGATCCTAAACGTTGTCTGAATCAGATTTAAACGTTCAACACTCTGGAGAAAATAGGCAACAAGAAGGCCAGAAAAGCACATTCGAACTGACCTGAGTGCGGACCCATGGAGAGGTGGGATGAGTAATATTTCCCGGGCTGGAAGTGTGCCGGGTGCTGGACGGAGCCGTGGCCGCCTGGCGCCATCCGAGACGCGGCGCTGTGAACCAGAGCGCTCCGCTCAGTCAGGAGGTGGTGCGGCGGAGCGAAGTCGCGGCTTTCCATCACGGCGAGAACCGATAAATCCCAAAAAAATCCAAAGTAGGAGAAAAATTAAAAGAAAATCATATAAATCCGGAGGCACCGAAGGTTTCAGGCATCCAGATGCAAATAATAATAATCCCTTTTTATGAACTTCGCGCTCCCCTTGTTCTGAGCGCAGTTTTGGCTTTGCGGGGTAGAAACGGAGTCCCCGTCATGTCCTACGAAAGAGAGAGAGAGAGAGAGAGAGAAGGAGGGAGGGAGAAAGAGAGAGAGAGAGAGAGAAGGAGGGAGGGAGAAAGAGAGAGTCAGCGCTGACAATACCGAGCATGGATGAGGCAGAGAAACATTCACTGTTCCAGTTTACACAAACACGATTCAAACGTCACAACGCGCACGTTTAAATCTACAATTTGCGACAGAAAGGTGAGAAAAGTCAGCTCTGAACATTAAAACAAAGCCTTACCGTCGTTAGCCCCAACAGTAGACTTCCCTTCACACACACACACACACACACACACACACACACACACACACACACACACACACACACACACACACACACACACACACACACACACACACACACACACACACAATTATTATGTTCATATTACCAAACACGATGCAAATTACGCGCAAAGAATGTGGTGGTGGTGTGTGTGTGTGTGTGTGTGGGGGGGGGGGGGGGGGGTAATCAATCAGAATTGGACAGAACGCGTCTTCTGATGAGGTAGAGTTAAAACTCACCAAAACTGGTCCAGAACCAGTCTGACCTAGAGGCTCGTGCAGGAAAAATACAGAGAAAAGCTGTTGGTGCGTAAAAAGCATCGTGCGTAAAGTTCCAAACGGAAGGAAGTGATGCTTTAACAATGATTTGGATTCATTCCTTAAATGTCAGTAAATCTGACTGAAAAATATTCATGAATTTTCATGACAGGAAGAGCACGCGTGTAAAGAAATATGCTGCTTGGGGTCTATGTTTTTTTAAGCTGCCCTTTTTGTTCCACTTTTTATCTGCACCCCCCTTTTTGTGCTTCTTGACAATACGCAAAACGTAATATCTGTGTATGTATGTGAATATGACCAAAGTGTAATCACAAACACAAATCACATCACCTTTATGCTCCAGTGCGAATGAGAGGGGCAATAAACGGTGAAATAGAGTCGAAATGGCCCTCGTGTACCCCTGCACAGCCTGGGTCATTTACCTAAATAGGGCTCCCTGAGACGGTCATATGGGGAACGCGGGGGCCCTGCGTTCCCCGAACACACACCTCAACAGCCCGGTCTACTGGGCGTTCCAAACGTCCACCTAACGCTTTACAGATGCTGAGAGCAGCAACCTCACAGGAACCGACGAGAAAGGAACAAAGAAAATATCAAATGAAGCTCGTGAGAACCCACACACACGCGCGCACACACACACACACACACACACACACACACACACACACACACACTCTCTCTCTCTCTCTCTCTCTCTCTCTCTCTCTGCTCCAACTTTTATTTTATTTGTATATTTATTTAAAGAAAGACGGTAAGAACCATTCCCCAAAGTTCTGGATCTACGTGTGCGTCTAAAGGACCATTTTGTCAGACTGGGAGCACATTTAAATTATTAAATTTCCTTTCAGTCTGATAGCCACTGCGTTATCTGTGCGACGCATATCTGCTGGAGAGCTTTGGGGGGGAGGGGGGGTGGGGGCAAAATGGGCTCTCCTCTGTCCCCCATGGCTGTGAGAAACAATGGCCCTTCTCTACGGGGCATCAATCACACAACACTCTCCTCTCCACGTTTGTCTATACGTTTTTTATGTCTTTAAACCATAAACACAGTCCTGTGTGTTTACATTCCACGTCAACGGAGAGCCACTCAGGCTGCATTTAACCACCTGAATCCAAATCCCGTGTTTTCGCAAGCCACGCAAACACAACGACGCGAGCAGCTCGCGCGTAAAACAGCAGCAACCTGGAGAAGGAGGAAAAGAGCCAGCGTCCGTGCAAGGTGGAAGCTGTTCTTACACACACGCATGCACGCGCGCACACACACACACACACACGCTGCCCTGGAGAGGGTCAAACTATCCAAAATCCCCTCTCATGCAAAAGTAACCACCGCTGGTCAAGGCGACGTAAACTCGGCACAAAAGCCAGAAAATCCGCAAAGAATTTGGCTTGACGGATGAAATTTTACTCATTTTGTTCTCTTTCAACAAAATCTAATATATCATACGTGTTGACTTTTAAATAATAATAATAATAATTATAACATAAATATAAATATTTATATAAAAATATATACATATATAATATTTTTTAAGAAAAAAGCGCGACAGCATTCAAATAATTTGGGGGCGGAAAAGGAGGCGAGACGAGCCCGGCTGAGCTGAAGACAACCCGGCGTCTCCTCAGCTTTCATACCGAGGGAGCACCGCAGTCTGCCTCTCTAACACACACACACACACACGCACGCACGCACGCACACACACACAGACACACACGCTGAGCAACAGGAAACACAAACCGTAATTTACTATTTAAAGCCTCGCTATTCACACACACACACACACACACTGGTCGAAAATATAAAATGATTTAGATAATCTTGCTTTGAAGAGAGATCAAAACGAAAAATGACACACACACACACACACACACCCTAGCGCGCGCACACCGGCAGGAGACAATAATTCAGAAATGAATGTTTAAAATACTGCAAAGAATCTTGGAATCTTACGTTGTTTGTGAATGAAAGACGTTTTCATAGCTATGTAATCACAGTCTTTACCTCCGTCTCTGTCCTCTGAATGCACCAGAGGAAAAAAACTCACCAAATTTAAATAATCTGAATTAGAAAAGCGACACTTGCAACATGCTATGACAGCAGTGGAGATTAAATATTTCAGACTTACTTAAGGTAGACCACGGCGTGGTGAGAACAGTGAAAGAAAAAATACAAAAATGTTCAAAGTGAAAATCCCCGAGTCGCAAAGATGAAACATGTGGGATAGATTACATCCTTGTGCTGCTGCTGCTGCAGACTGCACTGTGCGCTCGGCTCAGGTATGGCACAGACGCATATCGTAGAAGTTCGGGCTTGTAGTGAATCCAGGCTCGTTCATGCAGCCGGAGACTCAGACGCGACTGGGGGAGGAGGGGGAGGGGAGGAGGAAGGAAGGAGGAAGGGGTGTGTGTGTGCGCGCGCGCACGTGCGCGGAAAAGTGGTGGACGCGCAGGCTCTGTTGGGTTGACAATATGAAAGCGTGACCGTGAGGCGCACCCACACCCATCTCACACACACACACACACACAGAGAGAGAGAGAGAGAGAGAGAGAGAGAGAGAGAGAGAGAGAGAGAGAGAGAGAGAGAGAGAGAGAGAGAGAGAGAGAGAGAGAGAGACGCGCGCATTCATACACACGCCCGTTCGAGTTGCACGCGCGTGCGTATTCATACACACACGCCCGTTCGACGGTAAACACAAGCTGCCATTGGCTGCCGCTCGGAGCCAATCAGGGGGCCACCGGAGCCGCGGCGGGCGTTTGATTTGCAACCCTCAGCGCGCTGCGTGCTGGAACAAATGCGAGAAGACAGGCAGCTCGGGAGGGTGGGGGTGGAGCTGATTCTGTGTGATCATCCCGCTGCATCCCAACTCCAATCCTGCGCGTCAGCATTTATTCTGTTTATCCTCATGATTAAAATCTTCTTTATTAGTTTCAGGGAAAAAAAACACAAACAGGACAGCCACATTAAAAACCTTTAATTATTTTTATGACCTATTATGAAAATGTAATTAAAAATAATTATATAAAAGCTTGTTTGTCTTGGATATTTTTAGTTCATCATGCCATGGTAATCTGCTTTAAAACACATTCATTTGTTTAAAATAACCAATCCACTCTTTTGAAAAAAATTTTGCTAGAATAAATGTGTCTAATAAAATTGGATGCAATTTACAGTTAAGAGTTAGTTAGTTATTAACCTATATGTAGGGTACATATAGGTTAATAACTGCATAAATAGACGGCACCATAAATACATTTACTATCTTAAAATCACCTGTTGGTCTTTTTTTTTTTTTTTTTTTTTTTTGCAGATGCTTATTGTGTGGTTATACCTAATAGCTGCGTTTCCACATTGATTTGTAAGAGTCAGAAAATTCAGTTTTTTCTTCAGCTGATTCTTGCTTTGTGTTTCTCTTTATCTTCACACACACACACACACACACACACACACACACACACACACACACACACACACACACACACACACACACACACACACACACACAAATTGAATGACTGCATAAAGTTGAAGCCTTACTGTCCTCGGGGTCAACCCCTCGCGCGTGCGCGGTTCACTAATTTAGCCAATTAAAAGCGGAAGTGCTTTTGTGTTTTTCCAGCAATCTACTAGCTGCCATCGGCTAACGTTACCCCGTGTAGGTTTGTTTATATGTGGCAGCAAAGGGTTAAAAACTCTGAGGGTCCAGCCCCCAGTGACGCCGCTGATTGGCTGGCGCGCTGCCAGAGCGCTGCCAATCACCGAGTGTAAACAAGGCTCTGATTGGCTGCTGGCCAGTCCGCACTGGGCTGCCTGAAAAAAGCAATTACTGCCCCTGCGGTTTCAAGGCGGCCCCGCGCCGAACGATGAAAGGAGATAAGAAGGGGCGGTTTCAAGGCGCCCCCCCTACTGCGAACCCCGTTGGCCCCAGAGCAAAAGGAGAGTCAAGAGTGACTAAATCAAAGGGAATACGGCGAGAAAAGGAGGGAAGCTGCAAGTTGGATTAAAAGTAGAAGCTGTAGATTCACAAAATGCAGCAAGAACAAGTTAAGAATAGAAAGACGAGAACGGAGACACAACCGGGTAAACAGCCGAGAGAGTTCCGTTTCCCGCAGATATACTTCGGAGAATGCAAAGTGTTTATTAAATTTTATTTATTTATAAGGAGGCTGCACGGAAAAGGAGGCATTGGTGTTATTAAGAGGCAGATTTGTAATATTTCGGGGGGATTTTCATACCTAAAACTTTGACATTTTACGCACACACTTATCTGACAAGGAGAAAATGGAACGCGAGCAGACACAGTCGGCCTGCATGCATTTACAAAAAACATCAGTCCAATTTAGGGACCGGGTCTGTTATTTTTTATGTTCATTTTTTAATCGTAAATATTTTTCTGTTTGGTCTGTAGCTTGCAAACCTGCACACACTCGCACACTCGCACACACACAGGATAAACAAAACGGCATACAAGACAGTAAAATAATGCTGTATTAAATGTTTACATGTTTCATTGATGCACTACAATTAATTTAATTTTATACATTTACTGAAATCGTGCAGAAAAACATAGAAAATCCATTCAGACCCAGAGGGTTTGGCCCAACAAATGTTTGGTCCCATAAAAAATAGAATGACTAAAATAAATAAATCACCTATTATTGATTGTGCAAAACAATAAGTAACAGATGAATAAAACTTTGACACCAGCAGGGATATAACATTAAAATATGCAATTTTCAGGAAAACGTGAGTTGAGAAATGTGAAGTATTTCTAATACTTCCCCCCCCCCCCCCCCCCCCCCCCCCCCCCCCCCCCCCCACACACACACACACACACACACACCAACAGTGTTGTCCACAGCACTAATGACCGGCGGGACAATAAATAATCCTGTTCCGCAGCGCACAAAGAGAAGGGGGGAGGAGGGGGGCACTTAAAACAGAAATCTGCATTTAATTTATTTAGTGACAAGGAAAAGCCTTTTGTTGCTTGATTTTTATTGGTTCCTTTTCACCTAAAAAGTGGGGGATGGGATGACAGAGGGGGAGAAAGGACAACACACACACAACCTCACAAGTCAGTGTGCCAGCGCGAGCTCTGGGGGGGGGGGGGGGGGGGGGGGGGGTAATTAATGCGGATTGACTGATTGCTCTTGAAACAGACCGGTCCTGCGCGCGGATTGTCCTCGAGCATTGAAGCGTTCCTGACTGACACTTTCCACCTTCCCTTCTCCGCTTCCTCCTCTCTCTCTCTCTCTCTCTCTCTCTCTCTCTCTCTCTCTCTCTCTCTCTCTCTCTCTCTCTCTCACATCTAACACACACGCACGCGAACACACAAACACACACACACACAGCGAAACAACCGAGATCTTGAAGCCGATCTTCGAACGAGCAGCCCCAGCCAGCTGCGGCATGCTCCCCCCGCCGGTTCCTCCACCTCTGGCGTAAACACTCACATCTTTCCACATGCATTTTATAATATTTGAGTTTTTGCAACTTAAGATGAGTTTTTCTAGTTAAATTTCCTCTTTACCTCGACGACTTTTTATTTTATTTCATTTTTATTTTTTGAAAAAATGGTAAAAATGCAGTTTTTAGAGCTGAACTCCCCATTTACGCACTCCAAAATTATCTGACTTGAGAACCTGCGGGACTACACTTTATTAAGCTGAACGTACATGTCACAACCTACAGTTCAGCAGATGGATCTTATTTTATTCTATAAACATCAGCTGCGGAAAACACTGGTTCAAATGACAGAGGATACGTGTGTGCGTATGTGTGCGTGTGCGCGCGCGTGCGTGCATGCATGTGTAAGGAAAAGGGTCAAGAGATTTATGAATCCTTCACTCTACAAGCTCATCCATGATGATGATGATGATGATGGTGATGAAATTAGTGCCAGTCACACATCTCTATATCCGATCACGCGGAGATGAAACCTATGAACACATGCAGGTAGTTTCAACAACAACAGCGAGTCTTCCTGTTGCGTTCCGCGCACACGTGTCGTTTCAGACACGGAAGTACACCCAACTCCTAACCACTGGTCCAACATGGATTTTTTACACGAGTTTAAACCTTCAGAACCCAGATGCCGTTCCGTTTTTGCGAGTTTGTCATCGTTTCCACGCTCTTTGCCAGCATGTGCGCACTTGCCGCATCATGGAAGCGATTGTTGTTTCTCTTGTTGATTTCGGAGATCTTAAACAACCAAGTTCTGTTCAACATGGAGGAGTCCAAGAAGTGAGTTCCAAACACCCACAGCTCCAGAAGCAGGACGAGCCGAGAGGTCAAGGGGTCACCTGACCATAGAGCGACTTTAACAAAACCTGATTTCATCCAAATGAAGAGAGGGGACCTACAGACACCTACAGCACTTCAACGTTTTGTTGTTTTAAAAAGATCATCTGACAGGAAAAAGGAAAGCTAATTCTGTACAGTGTGGATCAATCCAGAGAAAAAACTAACCATTCACGTCAAACGTCACCTGTTTCGTCAGTTTATGTAAATAAATAAAGTCGTTTTTAACTGCAGTCCATGTCGCCTATTTATTACAGGATTTAAAATTATGGTGGAAGATTTAAAGTAAAACAAGAGCTGTTTTTAAATTTCACCTTCATGTACGTTATTATAAGAAAAAGAACACTCAAAGAATTTTTTTAGAAATTCAAATAAAAAACTGTAACAAAATAAAATAATAGAAATGCTGGGAAAACATCAAAAGAAAATTTAAAATTATAGGATACAAATTTAAATTAAAATAATGGAACAAATACTTAAAAAATGCTTTATTTATTTTTTTATTTTTGCAAAATTTAAACATTTCAATAAACATCCAAAATCTTGCCCATTTATATGCTGATTATTGTATTTAGCCGGATAGAGATCTCTTTTTTAAGCTTTTTTTTTTTTTGGTCTACATTTAAAGAAAATGGACACGCCATATCTGTAATGTTTACGCGAATCGTGTTTTGGTAAATAACAGTAAATAATTTAAAAGCTTGATCTGGAAAAGACTGGATCAGAAAACTTTAAACTAAAATTTTAAATATTTCCGCAGCTATCGACTCTTTTTTTAGGTCATGTAACAAATTACGCTTTTAACATACGCAAAATTTATTTTGAAAAAAGATTCTGTCTTACGTGGAGTCACTTGGAGAAAAGAATCCTGCTTCAGGCGCATCCAAACGGACCTAAACGGCGCTCTGCTCTTCTTGCACAAATCCTCGCTGAATTCATTCACCGAGGGACTTCCCCCGAGCAGCAGCAGGATCCTCTGGTCTCCGTGAAGCTGTATTATAACACGTTTATGTCTAGAGTGACGTGTCCTCCCGCTCCCAAGGTGGAGCGGAGCGCTGACATTAAACAGAAAATTGATGGAGAAAATCTCCGTTTTGCTCCCTCTGCCCTGCCTCCTTCTCTTTCCCTTGCGCGCTGAGCTTTCACATTTTTGATGCAGGGAGGGAGGAGGCAAAGGGACACGCTTTTGGGTAATACACCCTCTCCAAAAGGTGTAGCCAATATTACTCACTGGTGTGTTTTATTCTGATCAGTGCTGTTTTTATTTAACGTTGTGCACGTCCCTCTGATGTTCTGTGGATTAAAAACTGCTCACATTTTGTGTTTCAGGAAACTTTCCCGCCCAACTGGAACTGCTGAAAAATGAGAAACCTGCCCTTCTCTGGAAACCTAATTGATATTTGTTTATAGTGGCGGCTGTTGGGCAAATGATAGGCCTAATTACCGCCTCCGTGGAGGTCACGGTTTATCCAGCTATACTGAAATTCATCACCACTTCCGTCAATGGCCGCTGCACATGTATAAATAGCAGCTTTCCAGAGCTTCAGAGAAAACTGTTCCAGGCATGACCAAGCGAGCAAACACTCACACACACACACACACACACACACACACACACACACACACACACACACACACACACACACACACACACGGCTCCAATTAAAAAGACGCTATAAACATTTAGTGTGAGCGTTAAGAGTCCGCGGCGTTTTTGCGCGTCTGCCTCCTTTGATCGGCTCCAAACGGTCCAGACAAGTGTGTGCGTAAAAGTGATTTTTACCTTCACGGAAAGAATGCTCGCTTTGAACAGAACAGCAGAGCACTGGAAACACGCGCGCGCAGAGACATACACAGTTTCCCTTCAAGCATGCGTTTCACTGATCAACAGGAAGATTTTGCGTAAAAAGCGCAAGTTGAAGATGAATGCGGAAGAAGTCTGTAAAACCGAGCTTGGTGCTTGTTTGGAGTATCCTGTGATTCTTCCCTATCTAGACCTATCCTTTTCTCCCCCTGCCGCCCCCACCGATGCCCCCGCAGGTCACCGCTTCAGGGGCACTACGTCACCACGCTTAACCCCTGCGTCGCCAAGCGCGGGACGGTCATCTGCAGAGAAGAACCCACGTGGATTTGCACAAAAAGAGAGAGGAGGAGGGGATTCTCAAACAGTAGGGGACCCCCAAACTGCCACAAAGGGCGGGTCTTGCATGTCTCTGGTAGAAATGAAGAGCAGATTTCTTTTAATTTGCCTAAACTCACCTCAGAAACAGCTGTAATTAGTCCGATTTGCTTTATTTATTGCCCTTCTGCAATCAGAACCCCATTTAGCCAGAATGTGAAATTGTAGCTGAGAGGCCATAAATCTTTGCAGAATGACCCCAAAACACAACAAACCCGTGACAGCTTACAGATTTCAGTTGGAATGAAGCGAACATCTCTGGCAACGTGACATCAGACATTTTTCCATCCAAATAACAGGAAATGTACTTTACCAGCCCCTGCAGAGAAATCTGTTTAAACAAAGCCGGAGCTAAGTAATTCTGCTATGACTTTTCCAAACCACCATGCTGAAAAATAGAATCTGCACTCAAGACCAAAAACAATAATGCAGACATAAATCTGTTTGGGTTTTGCCTTTGAAAGGATTTATGGACAAAGGGAAGTGGGTGGGTCACGGCGTACCCAACCCACTGAGGGGAACTCGTCCAAAATTCAATCAGCTTTACGTTTGCAATAAAGTTAAAATGAGTAAATGGGTCAATGAAGATGATTTTTAAATCCAGGTTTGGTTACATTTTATAGTAGAGCGTGTGTTTATTTAGTTTTTGAAAGAAGAAACCCAGGTGATCTAATTTAACTGGACTCTCAAACAACGGCTCATTTGTTTTGCACTTTCTCAAGACATCACAGAAACATTTGCTCATTTCTCTGTCTTTCAAACGGTTTCTTACATAAACTGAACTCAGTCACAAGTGCCTCCATCCATCTTAACTAAAGGTGGTGGATTGATTTGTCATAGTGGAACCAGTGTCGGAGGCCCAAAGGAGATCCAAACAGGACTGGCTGGAGGATGAGCTGCTGACCAGTTCCCAGTTTCACACTCAGCTTGTTTTGGGTAAACATTCAGATACTATCAGAGAGGTGTCAGGTGGCTCTTGCTCATGGATTCCTTCTCTAACAGAGCGTTACCACCTGTTGGAGCTGTCTTTCCTCTCTGCATCCTGCTGTCTTTGTTTCTAGGGTGGTTCACGCAATTGTGTTGAGTTTGAAGCTATTTATAAAACCGTGTGTCATAAACACACAGAGACAGGAAACATCTGTAATAGTCATCGCTAAATTCCAGCAGCTGCTCTAAAGTCTATACTCACCCTTCACAACATTTGGTCCAACGTGAGCTGATGCAAACATGTGGCTGTATTGGTAATTGTGGACAAATATTTGCGATTGATGTGATGCTTCTCATTTGTTGGGGCGTAATACAGTTGCTGCAGCTCAGATAGCTCGCCTGCACACGTGTGGCGACCCCTGACATAGCTGCCGTAGGTTAAAAATGAGGCGCTAAACCTGCTTCTGGTTCCAATTTGCAGCCAGCTCCTCTTTTTGCAAATAAAAAACGGAAACCTTCAACTCGTCACAAAGAGGATGCCGTTTCTAGTTTGTGGTAGACAAATATTATTTAGTGGCATCTTCAGGATTTGTAATTTAGACTGCAGGGATGATTGCGATCTACTGCACTTTCCTCTGGTGCAACAAGCTCTGATAAGACTCATGTTGTTTGTACTGAAAAGTTCAAATAAAGTGTATAATTGCACTCGCCATCTATCTGTAGTCAAACATTTCTCTTCCTATGATGTATTCATGCGAAAGTGATTTGGTTAAACATTTTAAAAACAGAAGCTTTCAACACTTTATACTATTGCTTTCAAACTGGTTTCAATGGTTCTTGAGCCAAACATGAGCATCTTCACATTGGACAGCTGTAGCCCTCTGCTGGCCACAAACTACACCTAACGGTTTTGCTGTTCAGGCAGGGACACCAGTGGGAGGTTAGCCTGACAGGCCAACACATTCTCACTCCCAGCGAGTCAAAAACAAACGCTTGGTCAGCCACCCTCCCCGTCAGACCCCTGACGCCAAAAGTGCCCTTTTTCGTTACTTATGTGCGAAAAGGGGTTCTTCCCTTATTTGACTGCAGATCCCAATGCAGCGTTACACTGATGTGATGGGATGTCCGCAGCCAGGGCACCAAACAAGCTCATTGTACCTCACCTTAACCTTATCCTCTTATTTAACCTTCCCCTCACCCCATCCTAACCTTAACCATCTTGCTAGCGAACACGTTAGTGATGTGTCGATCGCTCTAAAAGCCGGCTCTATGAAGTGAATGGCGGGAGCCGCCTCGTGATTGGTCGAGTTTGGACCGAGCCAACGCGAGGGGGAGGTTTCAACTACCATGGTGAAGATTAAAAGTAGAGGGTATGTGTAACCTCCCCCTCGCCAGATGGTATGTTCTAACGTTCCCCTTGAGCGGCTAATACGAAAATTGACAGTCAGACTCTGTCAGAGTCAGAATGCAGGGGAAACAAACGCTTGATCGCAGTGAGAGTAACGTTTTAGGTAGCAAGAGGGTTAAGGTTAGGATGAGGGTGAAGGGAAGGTTATAAATAGTGAAACGTTAAGGTTTAGGTGCGGTTAAACGAGCTGGTTCGGTGCCGCATCAGTGGATATCTAAGCAGGTCAGTTTTACGCTGCATTGGGATCTGCAGTTACAAAAGGGAAAAACCCCTTTTCGCACATAAGTAACGACAAAGGGCACTTCTGGCGTCTGGGGTCTGACGTGGAGGGTGGCTGACCAAGCGCTTGTTTCCGACGCTTAGGGTGTGAGAATGTGTTGGACAGGCCTAGCCTGGCCTGCCAGACTCCTCCTCTGTTTAATTCTGCACAGAGAAAGAGTCTGGGAACTCTCCTATTCAAATAACCCCACCCCCTGAGAACTCTAACCGAGCCGATCAACACTGAGCACCATACGCTACACACCGCACTGCTGAGTTTCTCATGAACATGGCGTCTGTAGCGGCATTCGCTGCACCTCTTTCTTCTGATCTAACTGACTTGAATATGTCTTTAAAACCACAACAAGAAGAAATGCTAAAAGCCTTTCTTCTAAAAACAAAGATGTTTGCGCCATTGCCAGATGCCATTTTTGACTACATCTAAAAAACTACAGCGTCGCGTGGTACATTTACGCCTTTTTTCTGATTAGTTGTTTTGGAGCTGGCTAGTCCCGCCATGTGTCTCTCTGCCTGTGAGTAGCCAGACTCTTTCTCTGTGTAGTTAAACAGAAGACAAGTCTGGCAGGCCAGGCTAGTGGGAGGTCTCCACCTTCTCTACGACAATAGTTGTTTACTGTACCGGGAGCTAATTTAGAAGCTAGCTGTTAGCTTTCTCAGTTTGCCAACGGTTAATAACAAGCACAAGATGCAAAATAATTTTGCTTTTGCTGTTGGCATCATGGCGGAGCATAGAAGTAAAAGTAATTAAGTAATGTCTTTGGCGGCAAAGCGAAGAACTGAAACCAGAATGAAAATGTGTGCAGCCTGCACTCGTTTGCGAGTGCTTAAGGAGGCTACAAAACCCCAGACTGATGGTGACCTGGCTTTGCTGCTGCTGGACTTGTAAGTGATCAAATGTTTGCCCAACAGTATGGATCTTTTTACTTTGTGGCTTATTTAGCATCAGTTGGTTCATGTTAGCGTTAGCGCTAGCTACAGCAGGCTTTGGCAGGGTTGATTATGACAGGTGTAGTTCTGCTTTCAGCCAGTAGGAGGGAGAAGTAAGAAACTTCTTTAGTCTGCTTTACTTTGCAATTTCTGGAAAGTGTACACTACAACAAGTGCACAACACACACACACACACACACACACACACACACACACACACACACACACACACACACACACACACACACACACACACACACACACACACACACACACACGCTACCTCCAACTTTATATAGGACTAGTGCCCCTGTAACAGCTACAAACTGGTGAGCTAAGACCGCAAAGCATCCTGGGAAATGACTTTGTGCCAAATCACTGAGCTCCTTCATCTTTTCTCTTATATTCTAATGCATATCAGTCATAAAAAGAGCATTACATCACTGGACACACAGTGTTGCCTCTATCTGAAATCTGTCCTGTAGGTCCATTTTTCTCTTTATGAGTTACGGCCTTTATGCATATTTTATGAAGCGGCGTTAAAAACGCAGTGACAAACAGAGACGGCCCTTTAAGACCGTGCCAGGCCATTCAGCATGCCATCGTCCATCCACCCTCTTCTTTCTCGCATTTTTTTTATTTGCAGCTGCTAACGTTGCAGCCAGAACCGAAACAAAGCTAGCTTTGTGACCCCTGCCCCCCTCCTGGCTGTCTGCTGACGCGTTCGCTTGTTCTCCATGTCATCCCCGAGCCCTTGTTCCCCTTCCAATCTTTCACTAACTTCTTTTCTTCCTTTTATAATTCTTTTCCCCCTGCTTCTCCTCACATCTGCAACAGCATCACGCGGCTCGCCGTGGCCGGTCGGGAGAGTCATGTGATCTCTGCCATGGCTGCAGCC